TTTATAAGGTATAAACTTTATTTCTACGCTATGAACTTCACATGAGCATTTGTCCTATATTTCACTGAGAGATAGTAGAACCCCTTATGCAAAGTTTATAGTTAAGTCAAATTACATGTAAGATAATTACAGTAGGTCATACCAGCACCAGTTGCTTGTGAATTCCTTCTTCTAATTCTTCCAGTCCTCTCAGGGGCGAAAGAAAGCTTAAGTTAAAGAACACTTGGTTCATGCTTTGAAATTGGCACTGTCAACTCCCGCTGCATTTGTTATTTCTCTCATTGCTTTAGGAATGAAAAAAATCCTGTGTGTACTGTAGTTTTGTACACATCCAGTCAGCATGTTAGATACATAATTTTTCACTAAACTAAAGTTGGTTCACAAAAGAACTAGGACTGAGAATTTCTCATTAAACCTCAAATTAAGTTCCATTCTTAAAAAAAAAAGTTCCGCAGTTTTGTTAGTAAATCTGCTACATTTTGAACTGCATGAAACTTATTACCCGTAAAACTGATTGTGAAGGAGCACCACTGCAAAACTCAAGTAACCATAAATCAACGTAAAAGCCCATTCCAAGTTGTTTCTGAGCTGTTGCAAAAGTATGGCCTAAAATACACAGCAAGGGCACTTTAGTGTGTGTAACTGAGATGGCTGTCATGAGTGTCAAATTCTCTGGTTTGGTATAGCCAGGAACCATTAGCAAATTAGCAGAGTGTACAAGGCTTACCATGCAGCAAAGTGTCTCCAGTCTCTGTGTGTGTGCTGATAAGAAACAAAGTTACATGGAGCCTCTTTTATATTTGCAAGCTAATATGAGTTCCTTTATTATATAGAACTCCATTCTAGACAGGATAGGAACAGGATAGTAGTCTAATTTAACTAACAAGGATGGATGTAGATGCAGAATGCATGTCCTGCATCCATGAAGCCAAGATGGAGAGATCTGGCAAAGTGTGTGTGGGGGGGGGTTTTGAAAGAGAGGGGGGGGAGAGAGAGAGAAGGTGTCAGAATGGAAGGAAGGAAGTCTCCCTAAGAATAGCAATTTACTTCAAAGGGATAGCATCAGAGAGAGAGAGAAAGAAAAGATGGTCAGTGTCCTGAGCCCATCTATCTCTGACTGTACTGTAGCCCCTTCTGAACGCTAAGGCTAAGAGACAGCGTACAATCCTTATCTTCCAGCAATGAGATCTCACCAGCATAAGATTGCCAGCTTCCAGGTGGGGCTTGGGGATTTCCTGGAATTACAGCTACTCTCCAGACTACAGAGATCAGTTCCCCCCCCCCCCATCACGGGGGGGAGGGAATAGATCCTTTGGCGGGTTGACTTTATGGGCATTGTACACCACTGAGGTCCTTGTCCTCCCCAGGCTCCACTCCCAAATCTCCAGGAATTCCCCAACTCTGCACCCACACCCACCCCCGGCTGAGGGCCAGGGGGGCCCTGGCAACCCTACACCAGCATATATCCAGCCATTTGCAGACTTCACAGAATAGGATATTTCTTAATCCAGATAAGAGTGCAGAAGTGCAGATCTGTTCCTGGGATAAGGGTACAGCCTGGGCTCCATGTATCTGAACACTCCTTGAAAACCAGGCTGACAGTTCAGGCATGTTTCTGGATGTGGCAATACATCTACTTCTTCAGGGGTCTTCAGCAATGCTCCCTCTAAGCTTCCTGAGCTAAGACAAAAATGTGTGAGCCGGAGGCTAAAGACCTGTGAGCTAGCTCACACTAACTCAGCTTAGAGGGAACACTGGTCTTCAGGTCATTCTGAGGAGTACCAGCAGAGCACTGAAACCAAGAGCAGCAGCTGTTTTTGAGGCCAATGCTAGTTGCACTGTATTCAGTAAATCTCTTCTTCTACAGCCAGCTGTTTTCCACACTTCAGCCTCCTGTGTCTTCATTTTACAAAATTTGGAGCAGCATGTATTATTTCCATGGTTTCGATTTTATTATCTTTTCCCAAATTGACAAAATTTGAAATTTTCCAGAATCATTTTTTTTTAAATCAAGGGCATAATCCATTTCCACACAGGTGCAGCCAACTGCATGGGTCAGAATTGCCATAAGGATCAGTGGGATTTTGTCTACTCCCCACCTCCTGGCCATTACTCAGAACGCATGCCTCCTGTATCCCCATCAGATACTGCTAATCAGGCCTTGGTTCCTGCTGGAGCACACCGGAGCACCGCTTCGCCAGTCAGGAGCCCAGAGGGCGGGCACATAAGCCTCACCCCCTGCTCCCACCAGCCATCCGTTGGGACACGGTGGGGGGGGAAATATTCCCCCGCCTCCCTGAGCCCCGGGATGGTGGCCTTCGACTGGTAGGGGCAAATTCCACCTCTCACACGAGAGGTCATTCTGGCTCCCCCAGCTCTCTGGATGGGCTCTTTAAAAAGTTATGGCCGCCTTTTCCAGGTGCGCGCCATAGAGAACAATGGAGGGGATGGGGGCAACCTGTTTGGGGGCCCATAGAATTGGATCCCCTGGTTCACTGTTCCTGAAATATGGAGGATATCTTGGAGAGAGGCTACAGCAGCTACCCTGCAATTTTGGAGCCTCTCCCTCAAACCCCCCCCTCCAGCCCCCAGAATATACCCAATGTTTTCACCATTGACTTAAATGGCCCTTAGGATATAATGGGGCAGAACTGCGGGAAGCTGATTCAGATCAAAGAATCTGATTCAGCCCACAGCAGCCCGAAAGGGGCCTGAATGGGCCATTCTCAGGGGTGCATTTGGTTCAGATGAACTGAATGCACATCCCTCCAGCAGCCGCTAGCTTGGGCTTTCTGCAGCCGCGGGGATCCTGAG